ACTTCATTTTGATGGTATTTCAACCAATATGACCATTTTAATTATAGTAAGTTAGATTTACTTACTTACTTACTTACGCCTGTTACTCCTAATGGAGCATGGGCCACCGACCAGCATTCTCTAATCCACTCTGTCCTGGGCCTTCTTTTCTAATTCCATCCAATTCTTGTTCATTCTTCTGATGTCTATCTCCATTTCTCAGCGTAGTGTGTTCTTTGGTCTTCCTCTTCTCCTTTGGCATTGAGGATTCCATTTGAGGGCTTGTCTTGTGACGCAGTTGGGTGCTTTCCTCAATGTGTGTCCTATCCACTTCCAGCGCTTCTTCCTGATTTCTTCCTCCACTGGGATCTGGTTTGTTCTCTCCCACAGTACGTTGTTGCTAATAGTGTCCGGCCAATGGATCTGAAGTATTTTGCGTAGACAATTGTTAATAAACACTTGTATTTTCTGGATGATGGCTTTCGTAGTTCTCCAGGTTTCTGCCCCATACAGTAGAACTGTCTTGACATTTGTATTGAAAATCCTGACCTTGGTGTTGGTTAACAGTTGTTTTGAGTTCCAGATGTTCCTCAGTTGTAAATATGCTGCTCTGGTTTTTCCTATCCGCGCCTTCACTTCTGCATCAGATCCACGCTGTTCATCAATGATGCTGCCCAAATACGTAAAGGTTTTTACATCTTCCAAATGTTCTCCGTCAATTGTGATTGGATTGGTGCATTCTGTGTTGTATCGGAGAATCCTGCTTTTCCCTTTTTGTATATTGAGACCTACTACTGCTGAAGCTGCTGCCACACTGTTCGTTTTCTCCTGCATTTGTTGTTGCGTTTGGGATAGAGGGGCAGATCATCTGCGAAGTCTAGATCATCCAGCTGCATCCTAGATGTCAATTGTATCCCGTGCTTCCCTTCAGGTGTTGACGTCTTCATGATCCAGTCGATCACCAGGAGAAAGAGAAAGGGTGAGAGTAAGCAACCTTGCCTAACACCGGTCTTCACTTCGAACGACTTTGTCAACTGTCCTCCATGCACGATTTTGCAGTGTAATCCATCATATGAGTTCTGTATGATATTGACTATCTTCTGAGGCACGCCGTAGTGTCGAAGAAGTTTCTATAGTGTTGTACTGCCCACGCTGTCAAATGCCTTTTCGTAGTCAATGAAGTTGATGTAGAGTGATGAATTCCTATCAGTTGGTTATTCCACAATGATCCGTAGAGTTGCGATTTGCTCAGTACACGATTTGTCCTTACGAAATCTAACATGTTGATCTCGATGTTGGGCGTCTGTGGAGTCTTTCATTCTGTTTCACAATACCCTGTTGAAGACTTTTCATGGTATTGAGAGAAGAGTGATGCCCCTGTAGTTATCACAGTTGCTGAGATCGCCTTTCTTCGGTATCTTGATCAGAAGTCCTTCTTTCCAGTCTCTTGGTACTTGTTCTTCATCCCAAATCTTATTGAAGAGAATGTGGAGTATCCTTGCAGTAACCGCTACGTCTGTTTCAGTGCCTCTGCTGGAATGTTGTCTGGTGCTGCTGCTTCGCCACTCTTGATTTGTCTGATGGCCATGCTGATTTCTACAATTGTTGGTGGGCCAACATCGACTGGGAGGTTCGTGGATATCGTTTCGATGTTGGGTGTGTTCAGTGGGGCTGGTCGATTCCAGAATTCATTAAAGTGCTCTACCCACATTTTTCTCTGTTCTTCAATGTTAGTGATTACCTCGCCTTCCTTGCCTTTCACTGGTCGTTCTGCTTTGCTGTGATTTCCAGAGAGTTTCTTTGTCGTGTCATGCAGTTGTCTCATGTTTCCTTCTCTCATGGCCTTTTCCGCCATCGTTTCTTAATCTTCCACATATTAACGTTTGTCGGTTCTGATGCTCTTCTTCACTTGTTTGTTTAATTCTGTGTATTCAGCTTGTGCCTTGGCTTTCTCTTCTCTTGTTCGACTGATATTTATTGCTGCATTCTTGTCCCTCCTTTCTTGAATCTTATCCAGTGTATCAATAGTGATCCATTCCTTGTGATAGTGCTTCTTGTGACCCAGGACCTCATGGCATTTTGAAGTGATTACCTCTTTGATCCCCTTCCAGTTGCTCTCCACAGTAGTTCCTTCTCCATTGAGTAGATCATGAAAGGCCTGGAACTTATTGCTGAGGACTATCTTGAATTCGTTAAGTTTGTCAGTATCCCGAAGAAAAGCCGTATTAAACTTTTGTGATATTGCCTGCCACGTTGTCCAGTGCTTCTTGAATTTCAATTTCATCTTGACGGCCAGCAAGTGATGATCTGATGCTGCATCAGCTCCTCCCTCGGTTCTCACATCCTCCATTGTCCTCTTGAACTTTTTGTTGATGAAGATATGGTCGATTTGGTTTTGCGTTGTGTGGTCCGGTGAAGTCCATGATGTTTTGTGAATACATTTATGTGGGAATATAGGGCCGCCTATGACCAGTCTATTGAAGGCACATAGGTTTGCAAATCTCTCACCATTTTCGTTCCTTTCTCCAAGTCCATGTCATTCCATGATGTCTTCATATCCAGTGTTGTCCATTCCAACCTTGACATTGAAATCTCCCATCAGAATGGTCAGGTCTTTTGTTGGGCACTTCTCGACGATTGACTGCAGCCTATCATAGAATTGATCTTCAGCGTCTTCATTGTAGTCGTTGGTAGGCGCATAGCATTGGATGATGTTCATTGAAATGTCCTCTTTCTTTGTTTTGAAGGAGGCTTTGATGATTCTTGGTCCATGAGATTCGCATCCTATAAGTGCATTTTGTGCTTGTTTGGATAGCATCAGTACAACTCCTTGTGTATGTGGAGCATTTTCTTCTTCATGGCCGGAGTATAACAGAAGCTTCCCTGAAGCTAGTCGTTGTTGTCCAACTTGTGTACAATGTGTTTCGCTGATCCCAAGCATATCTAGGTTGCATCTCCTCATTTCTGCAGCGATTTGGAAGGCTCTCTCGATGTCCCACATTGTACGAACATTCCATGTACCTAAATAATTGGTCGCTCTGGTTGTCAGAAGGGACATCGGCCTCGTAACTTCCGAAGGAATTCGGCTTTCATCATGTGGCGTCATAGTTCTTCTAAATGAAGACCTTCTGACTTCCGGGACAGAGTTTAAAAGATTTGAATAATTTGTTCTGGTTAGCGTTTTTTTAGCGAGTTAGTTTTCTACGAGATGGGGACGCTAACCCCATGCCCAACCCTCCTCCTTTACCCGGGCTTGGGACCGGCAGTAGCCCCCGGAGGAACTTCAGGCGGAGTTAGTAATTTAGATTTAACTACATATTCACTATATTTTATGCTACTTATTATAAACTGACCTTTTTTGTTAAATTATTTTCCAGAAACTTCCAATCATTCTTAAGGCGTGGAAACTAAAGAAAATTTTAAATTAGAGCTCATATATCTTTTTTTTTCATTGGTTGAATCATTAAATAATAATAGCCAATGAAATTGCAGCATGTTTAATGGTGTAACCAATACCTAATCAAATTATTTATTCAAATATAAAATACTTTATTTAATATTTAATATTCTAACAGTTTAATCATACAACTATGGTTTTACTATTTATTTTGTTGGGTAAGAATATCAATCTTTTTTTGGTGGGAGTCGGTATTCTTTAAACTTTATTTCTATCTTCACTTAGTGTTGTTTTAATTGTGTCTTTTCATTGTTATTTAAGACTGCAATTGATTAGTCCCATGTTGGCATATGTACATCCTGTACGGATTGCCTTAAGTCACAAGCTTTTTAAGCAAAGATGGATAGTGGCTTGCAGGTACATCCAGCTGACGAGTTCCAAATAGGGTGAAATGAACGTCCTGGATTCCATGATCAGAATAAATATTGGTCAGATAGGGTTAGGGAAATAACAGTGCAATTACAGTTCGATCAAATGTTTGACCGAATGTTTAGTGGAAGACACTATTGTGTGAAATATTAGTAAAATGTAATAAGGACGGATGAATGCGAAGTGAATGAATCATGTATAGGGGAGATTAATAATGATGTTTAACCATTAGTAATAATAATAACAATACAATTACAATTGACTACGAAAGGTCGTAGTCAAATTAGGTCATTCAACAGCTAAGATTACTATTGATTAATAAGCCTTGGGAATGGCCAGGTGGGGAGGAATGGTTGAAGATATTTCTTCGGTATGCATAGCTCCGGTTTCTTCATTCGGATGGATACTGCTTTAGCCATTTGAAGGACTTTAAGTCTGACAAGCCTTGGCAAAAATTTACTGACCCGATAAACAACTGAAAAAGATTGGTTTATACTGGCACTATGATCGGTTTGCACTAAATGGGCCAATATTCTGAGGAAATATTTTCAATATTCTGAAAAGACTGACTATGGAATCTTTTTAAAACTTTTTTTTCGATTCACTTGGCATTGTTTGTTTGAATCTCTCCATTGATGTTTAGAACTGTAATTGGCTAGTGATACTGTGTGTATTGCCTCAATATAACCTTAATTCACAAGCATAATATGAAAAGATGGATAATGGATATCAGTGGAATCATGAGCGCGTTTCGTCTATTGGCTTTCCTACTATGGGAAAGTGTCAACAGTATTCATCTTGCATCCCTATTAGTTAAAGCACTGAGAAATATTCTTGTTTTTCCAAATGTCACTTTTATTCAGTACCGTACTCTAAGTATTGCTGAAAGGAAAGATTTTGAAATGACAAATAAGATGTTAGTAACAATGTAAAGAAGTTACCAGATAAATACTGTACGTTAAATGTTCGATTGAGCATCAATTATATGTTCGAGTGAATTTACAATTAACAATGTTTGATGTTTACGTCTCGGTATCCTGTATGAAATATCTTTTGAACTATTGTAATGTTGTCTCATTTTGTAAAAGATTTTGGATATCGGAAATGATTTGAAATGTATAAGTCAATATAATTTATATTGCAAATGCTTGATATTCTATTCTATTTATGATTTTAGGCATTTTACAAGGATATGCTCATTCGTCTGCCAAAACACCAAGTAAACATTCACTCTTCAATTACTTGTAATATATTTGCTATACAATTACTTGTAAGTCCTAAAGATGTACAATTGAAAAAGAATCACAGGTTCGCTTTCTGAGCGTTTATCCCTTGAAACTGAAAAAACACACCTGCAGCTTGATAAATCTATGGATATCATTGGGACATAACGCTTGTATATATTATGGATGCGCTTACAATAACCTTATACGTTCCTATATTTTTACATTTTGAAGTATATTTTAAAGTCTGATTTACCTTACTGGTCTTAAGTCATTTTGTGTGTAAATTAAGCGTTGTAGAAATCAGTTTGAGCGTGTTATGATTTGATAACGACAAGTAATCATTTGAAACAACTACGATAATATTCTGTAGTCCTCACAAATATGAATAATAGTAAGTCAAACATTTAAATACTCACTATATTCAATATATTATTTAAATTTAACTCAATGTCAGAAAGGGTTTTGTGGAGATTTTAGTAATCATGAGTCAGTTGAAGCTAGAACACCATGGAAAACCTGGAAGCACTGGACGGCCGTTTCGTTCTGTTGTGGGACTCCTCAGCAGTGTGCATCCACGATCCCGCCCCCCCGCGAGATTTGAACCTAGGACCTATCAGTCTCGCGCGCGAGCGCCGGTGCTTCCAGGTTTCCCATGGTGGTCTAGCTTCAATTGACTCATGATTTTAACTATTAAATCAGTGTTCGAGAAATTTAACGAATAATACAGTTAATCTAAAACTCAAATTACTTCAGTTTATTTGTTGTCAATCATTTCATTTTATGTTTACAATAGGCTCACATTCAACGTAAGTACAGTAAGGATTGATTTCTTGGAAGCTCTTTTGTCACAATATTTCAGATTTTTCACTTTATTAATAGGCCCAATAATAATGAAACTATCAGTACAGGGTTGTGGAGATTATTAAGTAATTGATTGAGATCTTGAACCGATTGATGCTAGGCCACCATTGAAAACCTAGAAGCACCGGATGAGCACTGCTGAGGAGTTTAAAAATGGGACAAAACGGCCGTCTGGTCCTTCTAGGTTTTCAATGGTGGTCTAACATCAATCGGTTCAAGATCTCAATCAATAATGAAACTGTTTCGCACAGCATTTTTACTCATTCTCTAACAGTTCACTTTTAACTATTAAAATCACCCAGTGGATATCAAAAACTTTCGCTATGATAGAAATTATCATTTAGTTGTCTGAGGTCACTTTAGAAGTTCGTATATTTTGGAAGTATATATTAGAAAGCAGCTTACATAACTGGTTAGTTAGACGTAAGAATTTACATGGAATATATAAATCTTGCATCATAAAAATACAGTTTTGTAAGAACTATATTAGGTATTTCTATTTATGTCCTAAAAGATTTTATACAAAGCCAATCCATATAGCTTCATAACAGCCAACATTGGAGGTATTTAAACGGTGGCAGTAAAACTTTGCAGACTACTTCACGTCATCTTGATATATTAATGTCGGTTCCCTCTCCCAGAGTCCATGGAGTAACCCCTATAAATAACAGATTTATGGCACGCTCCACACAGTTGAAAGCAACTATACGTCATCCAGATATACTGTAGTGTGTTCAAGTATATATGCCTTACGATCAAGAACCTTTATAAAATGTCTTTACTTGAGTTCTCTATGCTACAATACACTGGTTGAATTTCATTCATTGGTTGTAAGCATTCGTTTAAGACTATGAATTTGTGAAATTTATATCCGAAAGATTTGCTAATTATATCCCAAATGTATGAATTAATAGAAAGGAATACGGAGCTTCAGGATGTTTGCCAATGAAATGTATGTGCTATTGTAAAAAGGAACGTTTAGTGATATCGTAGAAATAATGAACAAATCTAACAATATTAAACGACAACCAATACAGTTATGTGTTGATTAAAGTATTGGTCTTTTGCATAATGTTATTATAATCACTAGATATTGTACTATACGTCAGTAAACTCTACAGACATGTGAGATCATGATTACTTCAGCTCAGACTAAAGTAGTACTAACTCATGATAGTTGTTTTTGCTAATCACCTATCCAGTGCATGTAAGTACTTTTATCTCTACAACATTTAAATTATATTATATATGTATATGTACAAATTATAATCATTGTTATGTAAGTGATTAATTTATCATTAACTAAGACTACTGGGTTAAAATTAATTCAATGTATATGCACTTATTTATTCATTTAAATATATAAACATTGATACAAGGAGGTACCAAATAGATATGCGCCACATAAATCATCCACTTTGTGTGAGGGCTGGCATATTGCCCAGGTGCCCAAACCGAAGCAGGTGGTTTTCAAAGGGGTCACACGCCGAGCCTTCGAAATGAAGATCTGATCCACAAGGAAGTGTAGCAACATGACAAGATGCAATCCCATGGTAGCCGGTGACCAATAATTGGTTCATACACGATTTATTTTCTGAGGATCCTGCAGCCCATGTGCACCATTGGTTTGGAATCATGGTTTTCCAACTCCCCTGGGTGGACCCTCCATGTCCACCAACCCGGTTAAATCGCCGGACATTCGCTTTTCATCCTCTCAATTTCATAAACAACACCCTCGCTATGAGAAGGTAGTGAGTAAGACTTCCCTGGTAGTGGTTTTATGCGCGTGACCATGTGATAGGATTTCGAGAGGGAGAGCGGACTCTCTCCACTCTCGGTTGCACCAGAGCATTTGAGGGTCATAAAGAATACTGAAAGAGATATATTACTGACGCTTGGTTTTTTCACATCTGTTTATTCAACGATCAGGTAATAACAACCTAAGCCTGACAACATATAATGTCGAAAATCGGATTTCTGTAAAAATCTAATTACTTAACATAGAAGTTTAATAAGTGTATAAAGCATTTGATGATGATGGTTTCATTAAGAAATTATAATTGAATTATAGGTGTTCACTATATGTGTATATAACAATGTAAAAACGTAAACAAATAATGTTTACTGGAGGTTATTAACTGATATTTTATTCAATAATGGAATTTCAGCTGAAGTTGCACCTGCTGGGAGTTCAGAGTGAGTGAACTATGACATTGACTCCATGTAACTTTTCGTATCACAATTACAATTACTCAGTCCCACATCAATACATGAGACGATACTGGTAGTATACTAAACAGTACTGTTTTGACTATTATAACCTCTAATAATAGCCTATTATTAACCTTTTGATTATGTACCAATTATTTTACATTAATCAAATGAATTAAATACAACGAATACGTTAAGAATATTTTGAGCGAACAACTATTAAAGGTATATCGACTGTAAATAACTGGTACTTTCTTTTACTTATTATTTGATTAGGTCTTGTAAGTGCTTGTATTTGTATTCAATTAAATCTACCATTGTAAATATATCTATGAAATAATAATTATTAATAGTTGAGATCATGAGTCAAGTGAAGCTTGACCATCATGGAATACCTGGAAGCACTGGACGGCCGTTTCATCCTATTGTTAATTAAGTTATGAAACAATTGTGATTTGTTTAGTACAGATTGTGCTCACCTATCAATATAGTTTCGATTGTATTATCTTCACTGGAATAAAAGTTTGTATGGAGTAAAAGAAGAAAAACAAAACACCTTTTGATAGTAAATTCTTTGTTAGTAGATCTTTATGTCATGTGAAGATAAACCCCCTTGAAAGTAGTATCTATTTTATCAGTAGTAAGCAAACACATTTTCATTTTTTGATAGTAATAATAAGTTTTGTGATGATCTATACTATTCAGCAAGAAAATGATCTTTGACCTATCAGATTATGAATTGTAATATTTTAAAGAGGTTAAACATACACTTTGTGTATGAAAGTAGGTAAACGTTCACAATGTACAAATCACAATTAGAACTCTGTTGAGGCATGAAATAGCCTACATTAATTGGCTTAAATAAAGTCTAATTTACACTATAAACCAGAGATGTTAATGAACTGTAGTTGAACTGAACAAAATAAATCATTATTACTTAAAATTAATTATTTTTGATACAGGGACTACCAAACTTCGTGACTGGCTCATTTATTTCCTTAGTAAGTTCGATTGTTCATTTTATGTAGACAAGTTGTAAAATACTTTGTAACTATTATTTATATGAAAATCTAATTCGAAATGATGTCAGGACTCAATTTGTAGAAAGCTAATTCATTTTAGTATAGCAATATTGAGCAGTATATGTTCACTACTCTTTTGTATTATTTTGTTTAAAGTGAGATGGTTGAGAAAGAAATACATGGCGCCAAATATTTGTACAACAGAATTGCTAAATACATAAAACAATCTTTCATTTTAAGAAGTTTCATAATTTCATGTGGATGATTATTTTGTATGTTAAATCAATTATAGAAACTTAAATTATTACAGTGTTCCAAATAATTGGCGACTAAGAAAATATCTGAGAACAAACCTAAATTTTATTTTATCACATTTCAAAATAGTCAATATTAAACTATTAACACCATTGGATGGCGGCTCAGTGGTGGAGAAGTTAAGCGTTCACACGCGAGACCAAATGTCCTGGGTTCGAATCCCTCATGAGGTGTCATGGACGCACTTATGAGGAGTCTCGCACTAGGATGAAACGCTCGTCCAGTGCTTGAAAGTTTTCGGTGATAGTCTAACATTGATCTATTCATGATCTCAATCAAAAACGCAACAATCTCCATAACCTCCATTCCGATGATTAAAACTAACAGTTTACAGATCTTTATCGTTGAAAGATTATTATCCGGCAAAACAGGAGTTTGTTGAAATTATAACTAGGCTTTTTAGATTATTGTCTTATTCAAGATTACTATTACTGAATTACTTGAATCTTTAAAAGTAGTTTGCTAATATAGGGTTGGTGAATTTTACTCATGCAAAGTATTTTATTTTTTTATCATTATTGTATGAGCAAATCGTTAACTGAATGTCATAGTTAAAATGAATAAATAAGACTTTCACTGTTGCATTCCTTTCTTTAATCTAAATAATAAAATAATGCTCTATGTATTTTGTTCTGCTGCATTGTCTTTTAGGTCTGCTAACAAAAGTTTTCGGTTCTCACAGTAAGAAAGACTAGTATTAATCATTGACTGTTCTCTGAATAAACGGTTGTGTTTTCATCTACCAGTCCTGTCTCAGTCAGTTCAAAATAAAATCTTTAAATATGTATTATGCTCATAAGAAAGCGCTGTAGTCAAGTAAGAACGTTCTTTAGGACTCGACTGAGATTGATTTTCCATGAGGTTTATAGTGTTTGTTTTACATATTACTTAAATCTTAGTTAAACAGCATTATACTTCGACGGAAAGATTAATCCAAGATGTTTAATTATGATTCTTTAGTGCCATCATGAATTGAATTGAGACGAATAAAATTAACTCGTTTACGCATAACATTAACGTTTCTCACAATATGTTTAGCTTTATTGTGAAGGTCAGAATAAAATTGATAAATCTGTTTGACTAGGCATGTCTGAAGACGCAGGTCTCATGAAGTGTTGAGTTTGAATATCTTATTCATTGAAAAATCAGAAAAACAGTTGCTTATCCCTTTTCATATATCTGAATATTAGTATAGTGGTGTAAACATTCGAAGTAAACGCATTAAAGTTACATATTACAGACGTTTTGTGAAAACCATATGTAGATTTTTAGAGCAATAATTAATAAAACATTTTTACTACGAAGTCTGTAACTCTGAAATGACTCTTCACATAAATGTCTCTACCAAATTATCCTAATGCTGCTAGGGACAGAGTTATAATCTGAGTATTAATGATACGTTGACAGAATGATAAATTTATAGTGAGATAGTTTCATTTATGACGAATATGTAATATTCGGTAAACTAGAACAAACTGTGTGCAACACAATCGGTGTTCGAAAGCAGTTTTATCATTAATCGGATCTAACACTACATATTAATACCAATGTGTCTCAAGAAAGAAATTACTTAATACGATTAGTTTAGCAACAATATAAATCGTAAACGAAGTGATGATTTACAATCCGTCCATAATGTATTATGAATCACATAATTTTAAACCGATCTCAATTTCATCAATATTTAGTGATTATCAACCTTCAGGTTATGGTGAAGAAGAGTTATTTCTTCAAAAACTCAAACTATGCGAATAACGTGCAGTAAATGTACACATAATGTCTAGGATCTTATCAGATTTTCTTTTATGAAAAGCAAGAATAACAACTAATACCCATTAAATCGTTCACATAAGCCTTAGTAAGATGCTTGATTTCGTTAGTATCTTAGTGAATCTGAGTAATGGCCAAAAGTTTCAACAAACTGACTTCGTTACTAACGGTTTAAGATTGATTGATTATTGATTATAAGTTAACCAAATAATGAATACATGAATCTATTCACGTTATCCTGAGTATTCAGTATACAACACTAAATAGTATTTGTGAAATATTTTCAGTGTAAACTTAGGTGATAAAAGTTTCAACACTGGTTACCTAAGTAAATATTAATGTCAGAAGGCGTTTTGTGGATATTATAGTAGTTTTATTAGTTGAAATGAGTCAATTGAAGCTACCATGGAAAACCTGGAAGCACTGGACGACCGTTGGATGCCGGCTCAGTGGTCTAATGATTAAGAGCTCGCGCGCGAGACTGATAGGTTCTGGGTTTGAATCCCGCGAGGTGAGGTCGTGGATGCGCACTGCTGAAAAGTCCCACAGTAGAACGATACGGCTGTCCAGTGTTTCCAGCTTTTCCAATAGTGATATAACTTCAATTGGCTCATGATCTCAACTATTAAAATTAAATATTAATATATTTGCATTTCAACATTTTAGGCGAGTTCATGCAAAAGTAAGTAAAAATCTTTGATGAGATATTACAATCCGTTAAAAGTGTATCATGTTTAAAACGGAGTTGATCAACTCTGTCTTCACATTGTTCTATCGAAAAGATTATTTGATTGATACAAATTATTTGTGAAAAATATCTCAGCACATCGGCATTATGAATAAAACCAGATATTGTTTTTAATAAATTCTCTTTGGATTCTACAATTAAATATCTAAATTAATAATTCATAAAATTGGCCAGATCTAAGGCAAATACATCATTTGAAATTGTACTATATGAAGCTATGATTAATTTATTTTTGTATTGGTTGTTTGAATATTCCTATTGATGTTTACAACTACAATTGATTAGTCTCTTATTGGCATATCTGCATCTTGTACGGATTGCCATTATAAGCAGAGATGAATGATGGCTAGCAGTGAAATCCAGGATGAGTATTCTGTTCTATTTAGGACTCATCAGCTGAACTTAGGATTATTCATAAAATGATGACTAATATGAAATTTTAATCTGAATGAGTTCATATGTTAAATGAACTTGTAAGATTAAAAGTCAAAATAAAGATGCTTAACATATGGTGAGAGAGATAATGATATAATTGCAAATCGAAAGGAATATTTGTTCAAGAACCATGTACCAATCATTCTCTATTCTCGTTCTCTTTTTTCTTTGATCTTAACGTTCTATGGCCAGACATTTCTTTTTCGATTGATTATACATGCTACTTATATCTGTCGACATAAGTAGCATACACCACAAAATTACTTTACCAATATTATCAACATGATTGTTATCTAATTAGTTCAGAAGTTGGCAAAGGTAAAACAAACAGTTGACCTTATTTCTTTCGAATTCACATCTTCGACTTTTCACTTAAAATAAGTATTACTTCGGCCGTTTAGAGGATTCTGAGTATAATGGATTTGAGTAGATATTTGTTAACACGATATATTACTATAGCTGATTACTCGTTCATACTAAATGAGCAAGAATCAATGTATTAACAGTTCTAACTATGCTTGTGAGAACAAAACAACACGTTCCTAGAACTTCTGCCAATATAACTTATTTGATATGATCAATTGAATTGATAAATATAGGAAGAAGGGTTTAATCTAGTTAATTTATCTTTCAATATTTCAGCGACCATTGGATATGTAGAAAAAATTAAATTTAGTTTCACTGCACTGATGATTCTTTGAATTGCTCTGTACAACTTTAGCGTTAACATTTCACTGGGTACATCATTTTCAATTTGTAGGCGTTACCCATGTTACCCATCTTTATTCTAATCAATTATCTTACAATTTTATTTATCATAAACTTAATCAGGTTTAACTTTCATATTAGTTATCAACACACATCAACAATTTTCTGATGTTTTGTAAACAATCTCTAAATTAATATGCTACAATTTTAAATGTCGTATTTGACTTAAACATGGACGCTTTCAGGATCATTATTTTGAATACACAATTGTATTGTTTATTCGTATATCTGTGTGCTAAATCAGACATATGTAATTTATAACATATAAACCACTAATGGTAAAGAAACCAATGCCTCTGTGACAAATATTGTCGTTACAGATATACATATAGGTCGGTTTATATCAGAAAGAATCACTATCACAGCTTGATGAATGCGTTGAACAACTAATATAATATACATATGTTTCTCATATATACCCCTGCAATGTAAATGTCACAACATATTTTAGTCGATGTAGCCGAAATGCGATTTTTGGGGGGTTTTTCATACATAATACCTGAATGTTTTTGATATTCAGCGAATATAGCATATTGGGAGATTCTAATAACCATCATTTTGCTTATAATAGTATTTGAAAAACAGACTATTATTATTAAGCACAAATGGATAGTGGCTAGCAGTGAAATCCAGAACGCACGTTTCAACCAATTTGGGATTCATCAACTGAATGTACCTGCATCTCAGAGTTGATATTCACTCTGGGACACGAATTCAGTACCATTCGCTTAAAACGCCATTACGTTATCCACTTATCTACTGAGTCTTGATAACCATGAAACACGCATCCTGGATTTCAGTGCTAGCCATTATACATTTTTGCATATAATGCTTGAAAATTAACGCAATCTCGACGCAATACGCATGGATACACATATGCCAGTAACAGAATGATCAACTGCAATCTTAAACATCAATGGGAGGATTCAAGTGAACAATATTAAATGGATTTAGACTATTATTACTGATTGTTTAATAAAGTAGGTATTCATTTTGAAAGAGGTAAATTTGCATATAAAAAAATGCAATTTTTGATAATGTTCCCATCTTTATTATCTTGATTATAATTAAATTCGGTTATTCTTTTTTGTTTTCTTTTCAAAATCAAAGACTTTGTAAGTTCCTTGTTTTCTATTGATTGAATTGATGAAGTACAGGCGCAACATTTGGTGTAGTACAATAAAAAACACAACAAAAAATAAACAATAAACACATAGTACACACATGTATGAAGATGTACACATCACAGAGGTCTTGCTTTGTAACCACTCTATACTTTGATTATTCTGTTTATCACAATTGTTAGTTAGGTGTGTCCCATATATTATAAGTAAACAATACAAAATGTCTATTTACGTAAAAATTGTCATCTTATAGACTGAAATAGCCAGTAATGTGTAGTAATGTACAAGACTATTATAGTTGATTTACTTTCTTTTAATAGTATGATAAATATCAATCACTGAATTGTATCTGTATACACAATTAGACATAATGCAAACAAAATATTGAATTCTCTTTCATATAAATGTATAGTAATAAGTTACAGTCTAAAAATGAGTGAAAGATCTGCATTCAGTAACTTTCCATACTGGTTGTACATTTTGCTTTGTGCAAATAAGATTAAAGATATACAGGTTTTGTTCAGCAACAAGATTCACTCTATATAAACCCTCTATATTAACATGAAATTCCTGCGAATAAAGCATAAATAATCAGAGATATAGATTTTTCAACAGTACTGAGAGTTGATATCTCACAAGAAAATACAGTATATTCCAAATCACAAACCATACACTTTATAAGCGAAGATGTATAGTGGCTAGCAGTAGAATCTAGGACGCACGTTTCGTTTTATTTGGGACTCGTCAGCTGGATGTACCTGCATCTCAGAGTTGATTTTCACCCTGGGACTAAGTGGATAACGCGATGGCGTTTGAAGTGAAGGGTACTGGATTTGATTCCCAGAGTGAACACCAACTCTGAGATACAGGAACATACAGCTGACGAGTCCAAAATAAGAGGAAACGCGCTTCCTGGATTCCACTGCTAGCCATTATCCATCTTTACTTCTAATGTGTTTAATAAAATGAACAAAATTAGGTAGTTCATATTCATAGGTCAGAAAGTAGTTTTCATATTACCCCACCTATTAATTTATACAGCGTTTGTTTTAAATGGTGATTTCTATAAAGTATATTCTTATTTATTGTATAAGTTGTAATTCAAAAGGATTTATATATAAGCTTTCTATAATGTACTGATGTTTGCAATGTTATTCCTGATACATTCAATTATAGTGGGTCTAGTTGATAAGACGTAAGTAGAATGGGCTAGAAAAAGTTTTATTGTCATAAAAGTTAATTTAAAATTGCACAAAAAATATTGTTATATTGTCGTCTATGCTACTTATGCTGACAGATATAAGTAGTATGTAGCAGCAATCAAGATTGGAATGCTTGCTAGCAGAAGATTGAATTAAAAGGAATCGGAAAGCAAACGGAGAGCAATTGTAATAACGACAGAACTAGAGGAATAAGTGGGTATGTAAAGGACAACTGAAGGTAGATGTGCAAATAATATAAGGTTTCAAGGAGCACAGTAATTTCCCCACCTGAATTCTTGTTTTTTTTATTATATGAGTTTTGAACGAATATTTTATCCATCAATTGTTCATTTATTTTAAGACATTTATATAATGAGCAAAGATGGATAGTCCTGGAATCCAGGACGCGCGTCTCAATTTATTTGGGACTCGTCAGCTGGATGTACCTGCATCTCAGATTTGATGTTCACGCTGAGACTCGAACCCAGTACCGTTCTCTTCAAACGCCATCACGTTGTCCACTTAAATCCTGAGTCCTCATAACCACTTGCTTGTGCGACAGGGTGAAGCTTAATTTATTTGGTATTGTTTTATTTGAACCTTCCCGTTGATTTTTAGGACTGCGATTGATCAGTTGAGCGTTTTCAATCATTGTCCTTTTTGATTGAGATCATGAATCAATCGATGTTAGACCACGGTTGAAAACCTGGAAGCACTAGACGTCGTAGTATGGGACTCCTCACCAGTGTGCATCCATGACCCCTCTCTCCGCGAGATTCAAACCCAGGATTTATCATTCTTGCGCCAGGCTCTTAACCAACTAGACCACTGAGCCGGCATCCAATGGATGTTAGTGTCTAACATTGACTCATGATTTCAATCTGTGAAATAAAATATTTATTTAACTTTACAATTAGTCTCTTAACCAACTTTTTTCTAACTCTACAGAACATCCGTTTCGTAAGTACTGATGATATTTGTGTCATATATGCTAATTAAAATATCACTGTCAAAGAACAAGCACCAACAACTACATTATACATTATTCAGTTTACGCTACGTTGATTCGGATTATTATTAGTGATATAACTGTATAACTAATCATTAAAATAATTTTTTTCGTTTCAGCCTGAGTAAGTTAACAAGACAACGATTATATAATTATGCTACTTTGCTAGTATATGTAAAGCAAAATGTATTGATTTGAAAACCAAAAGAATTGTACATCTTCTTAAACCTTAAAAGTAAAGATGAATTTTGGCTAGCAGAAGAAGAAAGGACGCACATTTCGTTGTTTTTGGGACTTATCATCTGGATACAACTCCATCCTAGAGTTGATGTTCACTCCAGGATTCGCACTCAGTACCACTCTCTTCAAACACCATCGCGTTATCCGCTTAGTCTAGGGATGTAGCAAGTACATTCAGCTGACGAGTAATGAGTGTGATGAAATACGTGTCCTTGTCTCCACTGCTTATAATACTTGCGAGTTAAGGTTATATCGAAGCAATCCGTTCAGGATCCACATATGCCAATACGAGACTAATCAACTGCAGTCGTAAAAAATCAAGGGGAATATTGAAAAAACCAACACAAAATGAATTTCTCTAAAAGTGCTTAATCAGCTTCGAAGAAACTAATTCGTGTAAAACTGACGTAAAAGCTTCTAATTTAGTTCCTAGATTTATATATTTATTCTGAAACACGAAACATGTGTAGATAATTAATTTAATTGTTAAAATTACTACAATCTCCACAAATCCACATTCTTATAATCGATTTAATGTTTAACAATACAAAAAACAATAGAAATCTATTGATAAGTAGTTCTTAATTAAAGGTCTAAACCGAAAGTTGACTATTGAAATTTCAAAACTCTCAGTATCATAACACTTGATTGTGTAATTGCAATAAAGTTCCCCAAAATATTTTATCCTAACTCAAGAGGGATTATACTGATGAAGATGATAAGATATACTTATAATCAGAACATGTTTTTGTATAAATGTATGAACGAACCACAGAAATAGTTTCGTGTACAATAATAAGTTATATTGTGTAAATTTCTTTCTGCGAAATTACGTACTTCTTTACACTGTTTATTCTAGCTTTCCATGTAAGTAATTCAGAAGTTGATTGGTGGCCTGCTTGAATATCTGGGCTACCTGTTTCTGTCATCTAGATATTTCAACAAATTGTCTATTGCCTTATTAGTTTTAACAAACCATTATGTTTGTTGTTCAGCTAATCTATTCAGGTGCCTTTATGAAAAGTATACAACTTTGCGTTATACAAGTTACAAAAAAGTCTAATCAGAGACATCATGATTTTTGGCAATATGCATCGAAAAGAGTGTGCAATATTCAGATATCGATTTCTGAAACGCTAACTTCTGACTGGTGACCACTCAATATATATCGTCAGGATTGACCAATGAGTAAGATACTTGCTGAGATACTTTGTGCTGGGAATTCTATGTTGCACCAAGAATATGATATTGCATAAAGCTAATGATAATAATACTTACCATAATGTCTAATCGTATATATATGTAGATGATGAATAATTAAATTTGTAATAGTTTCATATTAATAGGATATCGAATGTTTCAGCCTCAATTAGAGATGATAACTAAAAAAATCACAAAACGTCTTACAGTTAAATCGATTGCATTTAGGTAAAGTTAGAACCTATCATAGAGTATTAGATTATAATTGACTCTTATAATTGACTGATAGGTCCTGGGTTCGAATCTCGCGAGGCGGGTTCGTGGATGCATACTAGTTCCACAGTAGGACGAAACGGCCATCCAGTGCTTTTAGGTTTTCGATGGTGGTTTAGCTTAGATTGACTCTTGAATTTAAAAAAACCCTTTTCTGATAACAAATAAAATGACTTACTTTTTGTATTCAAATTGGTAGCAAGTTTGTTAAACATATTGAACATTTTTATTTATAGTTGACCTAAGCATCGGAAGAGGTTAGTTAAATAACTATGATTACTATATATTGCTATTTGGCTGAGTTTCTATGGATTTCGATGGTTTTGTAACTTATAAAGGTTTGTCATATTGTAGACTTAACTCCTTGAAAAAATTGAAGAAATATGTAGTTTACCTTAAGAAAAATTGTCTTTTTGGCAAAATATAATCACAATGAGGTTTGATCGGAAGAATTTCTAGAATTGTATAAACAGAATAAATATGAGTTTCAATTACTAGAACGTAGAAACCAATGTGAGGTTGTGTGATTATAAGTAGTATAATAATAATGTTAGCAAAATCCTATATGTAAGGGTATGAATTGTTTACCAAGTTATAATTATAAGAGAAATGTGTAGATGACTATAAGATCTATGGACAAGAATCTACTCTTTCAAACAACATTACGTAACGTTATGTGTTTATTCAAATTTCTTTTGAATTGAATTATCAATTTATACAATGTTGTGTAAAGGCTATAAACCATGAAACCCAAATAATGCGGCATAGTGACTAGTTCAATGGTTTAATGTTAGATTGTATGTTTACGAACAAACGTATTCAAAAAGTACAAATATCTGCTATCAATAACTTTAGCGGCATTATTCAGTATACGACTATTTATGGAGCTTCTTCTTTGTAATATCATACTAAATGTTTACAGAGAATGAAGATAGGAGTTCACAAAAAGGAACTATAGTGTTTCTTTCGTCAGAATACATCATCTTATTGAGAAATTTTTAAAAATCTAGTTTAGCCCACATTGTGATCCCTGATAGTTTATCATAAATATACATAGTACATCCGAAATGATGTCTTGAAGCTACTAACGTCATGATAAATAGAAAAAAACACGATTTACACAAACACCAAAATAATTTCCTGTGTTGTTGTATCGAAACTGTCAGTCAGCCAGTCAGTCAGCAACAGCGTAGAACTTCGTACGTACGTACATCAGTTTGAGTCGCCAAACCATATTTGCACAGAGATACAATTGTCACTTCAAATCCTGTAATGGTAGAGGTAGTAAGAGTATAAGCAGTAATCGGAAACATTATGGTTGAAGATGTTATTGGAGTATAATCCAGTGAAACAAATTTGGAAAGAGAAAAAGGGACATAAAGAATTCAGAAGATTAGAATTTGGGATAACACAAAGAGCGGATGCACCTGCGCCATTGCGAACGATTTTGAGCCATGTCATTCACAGTCTCTAACCATCGGTTGCTATCATCTCGCGGTCCCCAACCAGGTAGCCTACACCTACCAACATGACTCAGTCCACTTGTCAGTGACTTTATGAACTTGTGCCATGTTTTGGTCTGGCCGCCCCTAGCTTTCTTCCAACCTACTCCTATACCACTGAACATAGCACGTCGAAGTAGTCGATGGTTGGGCATACGTAACACGTGTCCCAGCCATCTCAACTGATGAAGTTTCACCACTTGATCAATTGATTTGCCATCCTTACGTATTACCCGTTTCCTAACAACTGCGTTACTTACTCGATGGTCCCATGATATACGAGCAATGTTTCGAAGACACCTATGATCAAATACTAGTAACCTACGGATATCCTCTACTCTTACCGGCCACGTTTCACTGCCATAAAGTAGGACGGAACGAACTGCTGTACAGTAAACACGTCCTTTGGTTGATAGACGGATATCTTGCCTATGCCATAAATGACGCAAGTTGGTGAAAGCTAGTCGAGCCTTCTGTATCCGTGCTGAGATTTCGTCACACACCAAACCACAAGGGCTCATTAGACTTCCAAGAAAAGTGAAGTGGTCGACACACTCAACTACTTCACTGCCTATCATTAGTTGGGGTGTTGATGCAACCCAATCCTGAAGCAACATTTTGCATTTCGATGAGGAGAATAGCATCCCGAACATGCTTGCACTATTGCCTAGAGTGGTCAGAAGACTGCATTTTGTCACCGTATTCACGAACTAGAACTATGTCATCTGCATATTCTGAGTCAACAAGTGAATCGCTCGATAGAAGTTCAACCCCTGGGAATCTAGACGAGGAAAGTGTTATCTCTAAAAGTACGTCGACGACAAAGTTGAACAAGAATGGAGAGAATGGACAATCCTGACGAATACTACTTGAGGTAATCAATTCTGATAACAGTTCGTCATAAGCTCTCACTCGATCGGTTGTGTGGAGAGAGAGAGCCTTTACAAGGTTAATGTACTTCTTTGGTACTCCTTTCAGTGACAAACACTGCCGTAGAACCTCACGATCAACAGGTCGAGAAATACTACCTTTGTGGGGCGTCTGAATGTGTGTCCGTGTTCTAGGACCTGACGTAGTGTGAATATCTGGTCTATAAACCACATCCAGGTCGAATACCAGCCTGGTTTTCTCTAGTCTGCTCTTCACGAGCTTTAGTTAGTCATCGAAGCATTATTAAAGCTAATATTTTAGACACTATATTAGTCAAACTGATTCCTTTGTGGTTGTAACAAGAGGACTTTTGTCCTTTCTTATAGACTGGCACAATCGGTGATTGAAACCAGTCAGACGGGATTACGTCCAGTTCCCAAATTCTACTTAAGACCTCAGTTACTCTTACTGCTAATACTGGACCACCATCCTTAAAAATCTCAGGGGTATCGAAACTGTAGTCTGATACCTATACGGGAATACACTCTAATCAGATAACTGAACCCGGTTTTATAATTACTGACAAATGTGACCCATGTAGTTGCAGGATGATCCATACATTTTAAAGCTTACCGCATACTATTCATTTTTATTTCAGGAATACGAACAACTTGCAACGTACTTTTCAAGAATGATTTGGATATATTTAAAATAATTGGAGTCATGATCATTAAACTACACTTTTTATATCCTACATTTTGTTAAACTACCTACATGTTTCATGATGCAACGAAGTTAATATAAACCGATGTCTTTGATAAGGCTTTTCTTATTACAAACTATAGTAAGATAAAAAGAAACTTGTCATAGTTAATTAAATAGAGGATATCAAGTTCGCTAATTGATTAACGCAGAATACGCCATACAACTACGACACTCAAACGTATAGAACCCCATAGTCGCAAATCAGAAGACATAAGAAGACTGGAGAAGTGCCTTTTGGCTAAGAATCTAAACATACGGAAAATTATGAATATTTTTAGATATTAGCGTTTGTTATATCAACATGATAATTCAGGTAATCCGCAAAGAGGCATGTTATACTACTGTCCAATAGTGGCATGGCGCTTTGATATACTAGAATGTTCCATCACGTTCTGAATGGATGGAAACTCTTCGGCTCCTTTAGGGCCTCTGAAGACTTGGTTGGAGTTCTCGGAAGCTGTCCTAACAGAGGACACAGTATAATTTTGATTTTTTTCAATCTCATCTGGTATGCAATTTTTACATCCAAATTACAAAATTGTATTTACTTTTGTTAATCACCTTCTGATGCATAGTTAGCGATTATCAGTATAATAAGTTGCTTGAACTATTTATCACCAATATTCTAACTCATTTTCAAGCCACAGGGATCATTTAATGATCCAAATTTTTCCATCAATCTCCAAATATGAAATATTTGTGTTCAGTTATTAGAAATATCAAAAACTAAAAAAGGCATTTATCAGTATGAGGTTGTGGAGATTGCTGAGTTTTTGATTGAGACCATGAATTGATTAAGGTTAGATCACCATTTAATATACTTCAAAATGTTATAAAACATGGAATATATTTCATCAATTTCAAGATTATAAAACACTATGAATAGTCTATAAATATGTGTTGTGTCATTCACCTGAATAACAAACTTCAAATGTCATCCAATCTTTCATTCAAAATAAGCATACAGAATTAAGAAACAAGGTTAGAAACTTAATGTTTCAATGGGTAATTAATGATTAGCTTATATTAGTTCTGAATGATAATTGAATGTGAACTAATCTTTGATTATGTGAAGGATAATAACAATACAGACAGATTAGTTGCTGGGCATGACGCACTTTTACACCATAAAATCGAATAAATTGTGCTGGAGCTACAATTATTTCCTAAATGTAAAATACATCTAATGTATTTCTTATTGCTGATTATCTACATTAACGAAAGAAAAGGTTGCAAACAAATGCCGGATTATATTAAAAATCAGTATTTCCCTTTTTTAAATAATGATTTCACTTAGTTAAATGTTTAAAAATAGAATTCGTAAGAAATTCATAAATTGCTCCTGTGAAGCTAGTTTCATAGGCTGTACTCAGAGGGCTTTATCCTTGCCTGTTCGTGAACATGTGCTAGCATGGTTGGAAAAAGGAGTTACTAAATCGAACAACGGCACAATTCTTTCTCACGTGGTAGATAGTGAACATCATGTCAATATACAAGAAGCTTTCTTTGTTTTATGTCAAGTTCTGAAAATCTTCCTCAAGAAGCTAGATTACGGTTACTCTACATAGCTGAAGCCATTTGAATCAACTCCAGTAAACCAAACCTATGTATCCAGAATAGGTATATCCAGCCTCTATGTTTACCTTGGCCTACAACTAGATCACCAAATACGTAAACTTAATATTATAAACCTCTTACGCCCTACCCATCTTTTTTATAACATCTATCTTAATCTTTACATCCATCATTCATAATTCACATGATTCCTTTTTTTATCGTAATTATGTTGATAACTCCCCTCTTATTACATATTATGTTCACACAACCATATTATTAGTTCAATGGTTCAGATCATGAGTCAACTGAAGCCAGACCACCAAGGAAAACTTAGAAACACTGGACGGCCGTTTCGTCCCAGTATGCGACTCCTCAGCAGGGTGCATCAACGATCCCGCCTCACGCGTGAGCGCTCAACCACTAGACCACCGGTGCTAATTTCTAACTTCAACCAATCCAAGAACTTATTATTACTACTGTCATGATTATCTCAATTGACGAGATGAAATTCTCCTACTATGCATTTTATTCTACTGTACACTTTACTCATTAAATGACCTTTCTGATTTGCAAATAGCATAATTTTGAAGTATATATGTCGTAAAAGATGCAAACGTTCATCATTTTTAACATTGTCAAATTCATTAATACATGTCTTATTTTGGCCTTTGCAAATTATCATCATTAAGGACTTAAAGCTGTAAAACCTGATTGTCTTTTTAATTAACATCATCATCACAAACTTCAAGTAGAGGTGATGTATTCGAACCTTCCAACATATGATTAACAACTTATTCTGTCTACATCGATCTTGATTGGTTCTTGTTGCCTTTTAACCTGTCATTATCTGCCTTTTTTATTTTGATTCTATTTCCCTCTGATCTGATTCTTGGTCCTTTATTTGTCCATGATTTTTTTTGATTGATTAGTAAATTGAATTGATTTCTATATGCTTGCTGATTGACCTGAGTGCCAAGCTTCTAAAAATTCTTTGCTGTTCTTGTCGTTCTTTCTGTTCAAGATTTGAACATTCTTTAAGTTGATTATGTGTGTACTGAGCTCTGGTCCATCGAATTTTATTGGTCATAGATGTCTCAATCGCCTTTGTTAAAATTATCAAACCTTCTGATATGAGTATTTTCTCTAGCTTTCTCTTTTGGTTGTCCGTGATGTGTTGGTATTTGCTTACCATTTTGCTAAGTCATTTTTCATTCCATTAACCCAATTATGCATGCATGCATCATTTGAAATATCGATAATTTTTATGATAAGCAGATAAATATTTTTGGTTGCCTTACATCATTACGATAAGATTAAGTTTTGTCATTAAATGATGATGAAGTGTGACCAGTTGATGTCTTGATAATTTGTTACTGTTTTCATTGTGTTTTGCATGATTCTGTAGTACAGTTGAATTTATTACAAACACAATATATAATGAATGAAATTTCTTCTCATTTCTATACACACAACCTGTTATCTTAACACTTTTCGTTTCACACCACATTTCTCTTACATACGAATGTAAATACCTACTTTAATCATTGTTAACGTTGGTTGAATGACCTATTCAGAATACAGTAAACCGGAGAATCATGTACCTACTTATATTCGATAATTTTGATGTTTGATTATATTTCCTTGAAAAAGCTTGGACCAGATTGCCAGGCGAAATGTTAGATTTACTTCAAATTCCTTCGCTGAGATTTTACAAATACATTCTTCCTCTTTAATGTCTCACACTAACTCAGCGCTCAAATACTATGAAACTAATCGATCAAATTTAGACGAAAGTTCTTATTTAGTTTATTATTGTCATTCATAAATAATTCTGGTATTTTTAGGTGATTGAAATGAGGTAACAAAAGACCTATTTTTAATTCTTGACATTAATTTCTCTTCATAGTAGCTATTTAAGGTGATGAGTTCAGTAATCAGATCTTAATGTTCTGTGAGTTGACCAAAACTGCTTTTAATATCTTACCATTACTATTAAGAGGGAGGTTTAATTTAACACTTACAGTACGCTACATTTCAGAATGCCATAAGCGTAATTGTAAAATAACTCAATAGTAGTTTGGTTATCGTTTTTGCTATTTTTTTTGCATTAGGAGCCATTCATAAGACTTGTGTCATAAACTATTTTCATACATTTCATAGTGGAGCGACCGTAGTGTAAAAGTGGTAAGGTGTAATTTACGATTAGTTATGCATTGCGAGATCTAGTGTGATTGGCTGAATACCAACCACTTTTATCATATTTTTAGGACTACATGAAGATTTAGCATCAGGTTCGATTTAGTTCTTGTAATTAGAATCTTATGAAATTCTAATTAAGAAGCTTTAATAGAAATATTGTTCTATGGTTCCCATTCAATGCAAAATAATGTCAGTAAGTAACTCAACCGTAAGGAAACAAATTAACACTTTTACGTAGTGCTTGCATTGATAGAACATACATGATATTCAAAATGATGTTCTGGAAGATCCAAAAAGTTCAATTCTTTATTTACATTATTTTACGTCTTCTATTGTTGTGAATTCTAACCATACTGGACTATTAGATCATAAGTTCCTTTCATTTTCTTGAAAAAAAAACAGAGTAATGATGTAGCCATTGAACTGATCGTGATGTTAAATCAAGCCATTGCAACATATTCAGAAATCCAGCGTATACTTCAACTCTCCCTGGCCATACGAAACCACCATACCACTTTTCTGGCATTAAGAAGGGAAATCAGCCCTTCAGATATAGTATTATCTTCGTAGGATAACTGTAGTGACAACGTTATGCATTAGTCTCAGTGATATTTTAGGGTTGTAGTTTTCACCATTTTCGCAGTCCGTGGTTTTGTATTGAGCAAAAACTCCCATAGTGTTATGTCTATTGCAGTACCCCTTGGCTTCCAGTATCGAGGGAAACAACTTCAATTCATTCCAAGCTTTAAATTATACATTGAAGTAAGCTCATCAGTTCTTATACGAATAGTAGAATTGAGACCTTAAATGGGGTAGCATATACATTTAGCACTCAATACATTCAGGTTTTGCAGTGTTCAACTGTCATATTCATAGATAGGTAGGTAGTTAAATACTAAAGTTCGCAAACAAATTACCATATTTTCCAAAACTTATAGCTTTTATAACCTTAGAAAACAGTTGGATATCTTTTTGGTGTATTGTTGCATTCACTAAGATATGACATCAGCTTGTTTAATTTAGAGCGACTTTTAAGTGCATCGGTCAATGAAGATGATGTGTTTATGTTATTGCCCTATAAGCATAATGAATGATAACTTTGGGATCCATTTATGGACCAATACTATACGTATATTTTTGTCGCATAGCTGTTAAATAACTAAGCTATTTATATTCATGTCCCACTATTTATGAGCCTTATTTTAACCTATGAACTATTATTATACGATTTACCATTCTTGAATTATGCCCTGTCTATTAATTACTACCTCCCTCATTCATAGCCACATTTGGCCAAATCTTGTACAAATGTTGTTTCCTATTTTATTGGTCTGTTTAGCTGGTATATTAACTCAGTATGTTTGAAATAAATGATTCATATTGCAGAGGCTGAGATTGGTGTTCTGGACTTAACTGGTTGGGCTAGGCAGGAAGCAGGGCCATTAAGGACTCTAGACTGCTCATACGGGTTTACGCGTCATTGATCCAATCAATAAATCACTGCTCTCTAATTGGCGCTATCGTTACGTCATACATTAACAGGGCACAGGTCACAAGTTATGACAGTTAATACTCTTGATCCCGTTCAGTTGTAATAACGTTCTATCGATTGTCTCTAATATTCCCATATTTTTGACTCAGTTTATAGCTACAGATACGTTAAGCGTTAGAGCTCAGAATGAGTGAGAATAACGAATGAAGCATGGACAATTTTTGTAATTATGGTTGTTGTTTTAAACGATCGTAAAGACCATTGTGGACAAACAAATTTTATTGTACCATTGGTTTGAATTTGTTGATATGACGATTTCTATGACAATTTTTGTTCTTTTGTTCTGGTTCGGTAATCGACAGTAATTAATTACATTGTATCAGTTCTCAGTTTCGACAGAAATACCCAAACTGTAACAGTATCATATTCATCAGCAAAGGGATGTGGAGATTTTTTATTTTCATTGGAATAATTAATCAGTCAATGTTAGACCACCATTAAGTAATTAGAAGCACTGGACGACCGGTTCGTTCTAGTATAGGACTCCTCAGCAACGGGCATCGACGACCCAGCATACGGATGTTGAACCCAGGAAATTCGATCTTGCGCGCGAACGCTTGCCTTTAAACCACTGAGCTTGTATCCCATGGCGTTAATGATTAACCACAACGCTATATTGAAAATTATGAAGTGGTCACTAGTGACCAGCTTCGAGAGGGAATTCGCATATCTCTAGTCAAAAGCCGAGATCAGTGGAATTCAACCATGCCGAGTGTGAGGCTGCTACTCACCGAAGACAATTGATGTTTACGCAACATCATGGACTGATGGAAGTTGAACATTAGCATCGTTAGACGCTGACCTATTCGCCTAGAAGTCAAACGTTCGCGTGCGAGATCGAAGGTCCTGCATTTGAGTCTTGAACGCGAGATCGTGAATACACACTGTTGAGGGGTCAAATATTAGAACGAAACGGCCATCCAGTGCTTCCAGGCTCTTGATGGTGGTTTAACATTGATCGACTCATAAGTACCACAATTGTTTTTTGGGTTGTCGCAGTACATAATTTCCTGACAAACTCAAACATTTAACAGATAGATTAGAGCAGTGAAAATCTTTTAAAAATGAAGCATTATAAGAAAATCTCCTTGAGTTTACAATGAGTTTTATGTGATAAGAATTAAGACAGATTTCTATGGGGTTTGTATGCTTAAATTCTATCGCAGTATGTCGAAAATAACAGCCTTTCATTCGACAGTCAAATCTTAGAAAAAACAGGTGTCCAATGGTAATATCTTGTATGTTTTTATAATAGCTTCAATCCAGTTGATGAAGAGTAACTCGTCTCGTTGTACTAAAACTATTGGTTGTTGTTTATGTTTGGTTCGGGCATAAAAGAGAAAATTATCGTACTATCAATAGTGGAAAACATTTTTCTGAGATATGCAGACATAAGAATGATGTTGTGATAAAGTGTTTTCATCCGTAGGTTTCTAGAAAAGCAATTAAATCATCATATGGTTATGAATCGACACATATTTTCCAGTTTCCAGATATGAGCAATCAATCTGAAGCCATAATTTAAAATATCCATTTAGTGTAAGCTGCGATTATTCAGGGGTCAAAGACACATCTTCATATGCATCACATATAAGAAACTATCTTGTATTGTAAATGAACTGCTTCAATTATTTCTATTCCTCATTTTTTGTGGACGTTTAGAAAAATCTACAAAAAGAATCTCCTTATAGAAATGATAGAAGATCCTAAATCTTCTATTGAAATACACTAAATTTAGTATAAACGCGATATGCCTAGCCTAAAATGTAATGTATATATTTACAAAGAAAAACCGAAACGAAAACTTAAATATTTACGTATTCACCCATTTACATGCTTGGGAACTTCAACAAGTACTCTCTTAGTATTCATTCTGAAAGAATAATCGTTGTGGAAATACGCATGTGATGTATGCTACCTATGTCGACAGATATAAGTAGTATATAACACCAATCAATGGTGGAATGCCTGGCAGCAAAAGACTTAGAAGATCGAGCTGAGGAGAACAGAAAGAAAAACAGGGAAGAATTGGAGTACAAAACAGAATTGAAGTGATCATAAAGTATTTAAAGGAAAACTGATGGAAGATATGTAAATGTTGTATTTGATGTACGGTTTTCATATTTTATCAAAGCTTTCTGTAATTAAGCAATAATAATTCGTTATCCTCACTAGACTTCTTCGCTCACTACACGCATATCTAACATTTCAGGTATCAGTCACATGTCTTAGTCGTTATACTGACAAGAAATTGAATAATGACGAACTAGAAATGTGAATAAAAATGAAGAAGTGTTTAAAGACATTTAATACCAAGTAGATGATTTACTCGATAAAATACTTTATAAGATACATAAAAAACACTTGAAGTGGTTTCATACATTTACCTATTTAAAAATAAATGTAATATTGTACCTATGATGGAAATACGATGAAAAAAAGATTTACGATTATCTGTCTATATATAAGTTTTATATAAAGTATATTACTATTGCATCATTTGTATGTACTTTATGGTATATATATATAGATGATGTAAGTGTGCAAACTAGCTGTTATATCCGAGCTTCTTAGATATTAATTGACTAATTATTATCTATATATTCTTATGGTATAACTATTCAACAGTTAGATTTTGTATATTTATATTCCCTTTATTATAAGCTTTATTTTGACCTATAAACTATTATTATACGATTTACCATTCTTGAATTATGCCCTGTCTATTAAATACTACATCCCTCATTCACAGCCACATTTGGCCAAATCTTTTACAAATGTTGTTTCCTATTTTATGGTACGATGTGGTCTGTTTGGCTGGTATATTAACCCAGTATGTTTGAAGTAAATGATTCATATTGCAGAGACTGAGATTTGTGTTCTGGACTCAAGTGGACGGGCTAAGCGGACTCAGGATCAACAGGACTCTAGGCTGCTCATACCGGTCGAACGTCATTCGTTTTGACACAATGCTAAGATTGTATTAGTCGTATTTTGATTGGTGGGTAAATCACGTGATAAAAAGCCGGATATAAAGTCACAAACTAGCAGTCGAAACCTGGCGCCAACTACTGTTGTATTGAAAACACTGGTTTACATGATAAAACATGGGACTGCACTGAAATTTACAGAAAATGTGGATAAAAAATGAATAGTCTCAATAATAAGATTTGCATTCATATTGCTATATTTGAGAGTTTTTTTTTCATTGAAGTTACTCGTATCCATAATGGTATGGTTATTCAGATATCAAGTTAGTATTCTTCAATTCAAATTTCAGAATACATTATCTACTACGTAACAATGATACACTTATTTAGCAGGTGAGATATTCATCTCATTAGATGATATGTAAGTCTATTTTCCCAGTTGATGTGTGTTGTGGATTCCACTACACATGACATACTTAAGTCTTTATTAACTCCTAAATGCTACAGATATAGGTATGCAAATAAAGGGTGATATTTAATTCTTACTGTTGAAGTAACTGTATTGAAATAAACGAAAATTTCATTACTTTATGCAACAGTTATTATGTTTATTATGAGTGGAAAATAATATCATTTCATAGGGATGAACATATAGTGAAAACCTTTAGCTTACTATTTTGTTGCCAACTTATTTAAAGTTCCACCATGTGAAGTGTACAACTATGTAATCAGATGATATATACTTTAATATCAAGCTTTCTACAGTATTATTTCCCAGTATTTTTAAATAACACACTTGTTCTTGGATGATGCAAAACATACTACGATGAATCAACTATGTTTTGGATAGTAATTCTGAAAATTAACTAAACTCGAGTAATATCGAGGTATACGCACAGTATGCACCTATGCCAATAACAGACTGATCAATTGCAGTCTTAAACCTCAATGGGAAGATACAAGTCAAACAATACCAAGTGAATTTAAACTCGAGTATACTGTGGTATCGACAAGTGAAAAACTTTTTATGACATCCAGTAGTTTCCCTTCAGGTTCTATGGTTGTGAATGAAAATTAATTTTGCAATGGGATGAATTACTTTAAAGCAAATACAATGTAGGCAGTTGGTAATGTCGGTAAAATAATGCTATTTGCGTAGAAATTCCCAGCATGTAATTGAAATTATATGAGTTCATAGAAGCTCTTCTTTTCAGGAGATCTTTCAAGGAAAGATTTCTAAGTAATAGTAGTAAACACTTTTGATTCATAATAAGTAAGAAGGATAACAAATTGTAATGAAATAAAAAAGATTAATTAAAGGAAATTCAATCAGATTTATTGCTTGAATTAAATCAATGACTATCAAATGATGACTTACCTCAATAAAATATCTTTCCAATCTTAATCGAGGTGATGTTTGTTATATCTCACATGTTCACAACTGATGTACTGACAAATATTAATGCTTAATTTCAATAGTTGAGATCATGAGTCAATTGAAGATAGATCACCATGGAAAACCTGAAACTACTGAACGGACATTTCGAATTAGTATGCCACTCCTCAGAAGTGCGCATCCACCACTCCATCTCGCACAATTCGAATACAGGACATATCAGTCTCGCGCACGAGCGCTCAACCATTATACCACTGAGCTGGTCGGCATCCAACAGTGTTAATGTCTAACTTCAACCAGTTCACGTAATTGAGCGATACATCCACGATTTTCATCAATGTGTTACTATCTCATAACTGACCCGGTTGAACTCCACTGGTTACTGCTTTTTATTAGAACTCCAGAATATACCTCTTGAAGCCAGTCACTAATGAGCATATGTTGATTCATATCAGAAGGGGTTAAAAGATTTTCATATTTATCTTCTTATTTGACTTTACATGAAGACAGTTTTATACATAAATTATTGAATTTTGATACCGTCTCTAAATAAATATCGTGGATATACACTTCTCGGGGATTTTTATACCTGTATAAAACATCCGTCTAGTGTTTCCAGGTTTTCAATGATGTTCTAACTTAGATCGACTCATGAATTCAACTTTGAATATACTGCAATCTCGAGAAATCTCTATATAATGAGAAATAAAATGGTTGATGGAGGTATATCTTTTAAGCTGAACATTTTTTATCATTCAGAAATTAAGAGCAAGCCAAATGTAAATCCATCAGCCCTTTATTTACATGTTTATCTTCACGTTATGAACAGAGATTTTTTTAAAGGAACATTTAAAGCAGTTGTAACACATATGAAACCTATCTTGAAATAAGTACATAACAAAAAATATACTCCATTTAATAATTAAGGTAACTTACTTGGACAAAAACTTGTAAAACCCAACACACCTATATTGATAAGAAATAAATGTTTTCTCAATATTAAGAGGTAAGTGAAGCCCTTTGCTATGATTCACCCTTAATGAATTATATATATATACCGCCCGTCGCTACTACCGCTTGAATGATTTAATGAGGTCGTTGAATTGGTGTCGTTGTAGTGGCTTTGCTGCTCAACTGATGCCAAGATGACTTCATTTGACTATTTAGAAGAATTAAAAGTCTTAGGTGAACCTACGGAAGGATCATTATCACGAACCAGAAATACAGAATGAAATATGCTCTTGGCTTCGTGCTGGACTGCATTTACCCTGGCTTAGTGGTATTTACCCTAGACTTCAGCGGTTATATATATACATTTCATGGTCTGTACTAATATGCTACTTCGATGACTATTCTACATAAATTCGTTTACAGGTTTTTACCATTTAACGTAGCCACATTATTAATTTATTTAGATTAACATCTTTACTTATATATAGAGTACAAATGTTGGCAAGACTAGAACTTATGAACTATATTTGAGTGATTCAATAGTTATCTTGAGGAAAAACCAACCATTTGATACGTTTAGATTATCGTTATGAGTTTGAGTGAAGAATCAAGATCGATAATTAGGGTTAGGACTTAAAGTTGGAGTGATTTTTGCGAACTGGCATAGGCTTTAATTTCAGACTTCTATTTAGAAATATGGATGAATGAATTTCACGTAAATATTACAAGATCTTTAAAACAATTAGTCCCTTTGATAAATTTCGATAATGATATTAGAAGACGAAGATTATCAGAACTATGTGATATATTAGCGCAATACATTTCGAACAATCTGGTCACACATATACTTGTTAAGAGCATTATATATAAAAATAAAAGGTCAACTAGACAGGAAACGGGGTAAGAGGAGATAAGGATAATGATAAGAGTAATAATAATAATGTGAACACAATTTGAAACCTAATCACTCTGGATAATAAGTCAATATTACCAGGGTAGGTTTAAGGTAAGAACAAACTGTTTTTGAACACATAAAGGGGGTTTGAATTTTCGTATGGCTAAGGCTTCAATGAACCTTAGTATACGCCCTTTTACACTTTTATACAGCACTACAAAAGCTGAATTTAGATCAATCTTGTGACCTGTTTCAATTATATGTTTAGCAATAGAGAATGATGGATGTTTATCCTCTGCTCTTATCGGGTCACCCGATTGTATTTGTTTCTGAAGCCATTTGGGTACATGTTCACTCACCCTAATGTTGAGATCACGATTACTCCTCCCTATGTATGTGTGACCACACACACATTTAAATTGGTAAACACAGTGGGATGTGACGCAATCGTTTCCATGTACTTTAGGTTTTGAATGAAGCATGCACCTTGTTCTTTCTTTGATGATGACCTTTGCTGCGCAATAGGTTTTATTGATGACTGATTTAAGTCGTTGTTTCAAATAATCAAAGCTGGTGTAAAGCTAAACTAGTGGATATAGCACACCAATTTCATAGTGTTGGCCCGAAGCAGAGAAGCATATTAACTTCTCAGCATTTTAAATCATTAAAAGAACTACGATCAAACTCTGATATTGTCTTGTTAAAACCTGATAAAGGATCAGGCGTAGTTATCATGAATAAATGTGAATATAAAAGTAAGATGTTATCTATCCTTAGTGATGACAGTAAATTTATGCCTGATGTTGAATTTGGAGGTATCAGCAAACTAGAAAGAAGAGTAAATTCAAACCTAGAAAAATTGCTTCTCATGAATATTATTAATAAAGAGGAATTTAACTTTCTAAAACCTATGGGTTCCGAGTACCCTCATTTATATGGACTGCCTAAAATTCACAAACCTAACGTTCCTTTACGTCCAATTCTATCAATGTGCAGATCACCTACTCATAATCTGGCTAAATGGTTAGCAAAGTTGTTGGATCCTTTCCGAAGACATCTATGTAAGTATTCTCTAAAGGATTCTTTTGAACTGGTTGATCAGTTAGATGATATTAATATCAAGGAAAAGACAATGTGTTCATTTGATGTAAATTCCTTGTTTACAAATGTACCTTTAAAAAAAACCATTGATATATTATGTGATTACATATCTGAAAACAATTTTCAATCACGTGTACCTGTAAAACTTCTTAAAGATCTACTATTACTATGTACTGACAAAGTTCAGTTCACTTTTGAAGGTGAATACTTTCGTCAGATTGATGGAGTTGCTATGGGTAGTCCGCTAGGACCATTACTAGCAGATGTGTTCATGGCACATGTTGAAAATCAGACTGATGAATTAATCGGAAACATGTCACTTTATAAGAGATATGTGGACGATATCTTAGTTGTTTGTGAGAGAAAAGAGGATATGTACGGTTTATTAAATAAACTCAACACTCTCCAAAACCATATTAGTCTCTCATGTGAAGAGGAGAAAAACGATCAGCTTCCCTTCCTAGATATACTCCTGAGTAGACGAGAAGATGGTTCAGTAAAGCGATCTATTTTTAGAAAACCAACGTGGACAGGTCAATATCTCAGTTATTATAGTTATTGCCCTGTGCAATACAAACGTGGTTTGATAAGGTGTCTTTTCAACAGACTCGACCGTATTTGTACCAATGACGCCATTGATGATGATGTTAAGTTGTTAAATAAAACGTTAATAGAAAATGGCTATCCTCTGAAATTCATAAATAGATGGAAAGTCCATGGTTCAGCGAGACCTACTATAGCCTCGGTAGAGAAAAAGCCTGTCTACATCACCTTACCATTCAGAGGTGATTCAAATAGCCTTTTACTGAAACAACGACTTAAATCAGTCATCAATAAAACCTATTGCGCAGCAAAGGTCATCATCAAAGAAAGAACAAGGTGCATGCTTCATTCAAAACCTAAAGTACATGGAAACGATTGCGTCACATCCCACTGTGTTTACCAATTTAAATGTGTGTGTGGTCACACATACATAGGGAGGAGTAATCGTGATCTCAACATTAGGGTGAGTGAACATGTACCCAAATGGCTTCAGAAACAAATACAATCGAGTGACCCGATAAGAGCAGAGGATAAACATCCATCATCCTCTATTGCTAAACATATAATTGAAACAGGTCACAAGATTGATCTAAATTCAGCTTTTGTAGTGCTGTATAAAAGTGTAAAAGGGCGTATACTAAGGTTCATTGAAGCCTTAGCCATACGAAAATTCAAACCCCCTTTATGTGTTCAAAAACAGTTTGTTCTTACCTTAAACCTACCCTGGTAATATTGACTTATTATCCAGAGTGATTAGGTTTCAAATTGTGTTCACATTATTATTATTACTCTTATCATTATCCTTATCTCCTCTTACCCCGTTTCCTGTCTAGTTGACCTTTTATTTTTATATATAATGCTCTTAACAAGTATATGTGTGACCAGATTGTTCGAAATGTATTGCGCTAATATATCACATAGTTCTGATAATCTTCGTCTTCTAATATCATTATCGATATTACAAGATCACTGCCTGAAATGTTATTGATATAAATCTATTGTTGTCTGGTCACCACACCAATTATTAACATCATGATTAAACCCTGCCAGAAGCTTTTGAGAGACGGTTTTAAATTCACAGGATTAAGACAAATTATTAAACTAATGTTCATTTTCGTTACATAATTCTTCAGTTCAACGATATTTCAAGTTCATGTATACGAAAATAAAATCAGTTCATATAACTTTATATCAATAAAATTGGAGTTGCTTGCAAATGAACAGTTTCCCAACAGTTTTTTTATCTCTCAGTTATACCGATCTACTCAATGATGCATAGTGGCTAGCAGTGGAATCCAGGACACGCGTTTCGTCCTATTTGGGACTCGTCAGCTAGATGTACCTACATCTTAGAGTTGATGTTCACCCTGGAAGTCGAACCCAGTACCGTCTGCTTCAAACGCCACCACGTTATCCACTTAGCTACTGAGTCCTCATAGCCACAAATGCCAATAAGAGACTGATCAATTGTAGTCTTAAAAGTCAATGGGAAGATTCCAGTAATCAATAGCAAAGGAATCTATACTGACCTAGAACTTATGAATTTTTTGCCTTTTACAATTATAGTATTCACTTTTTCGTCATTCTATATTGCACTCTATAGAAAGTCTTCCAGATTCTGTGATATTCTAGTATTGTTGCGCAATTTTCTAAGAGACAGTAGCTTTAGGAAATCTTTCAAACTTCTTTACTTATGCAACATTAAATTTAAAAAATCCCGCTGTTTCTTCTTCATATTCCTTTATCAAGTCAAAAATTACATAATAGTGTCATTTTATTCATAAACAACTGATTTGATATTGGAGTCCATTGCTGTAAAGTAGCATATTATTTATACATATACTATTAGGTTGTGAGTTTTCAGTCAGAAAAAATATGGACCTATTCTGATATCACTTACTTACTTACGCCTGTCACTCCTCGTGGAGGAGCATAGGCCGCCCACCAGCACTCTCCATCCAACCCTATCCTGGGCAAACCTTTCCAGCTCTTTCTGATATCAGCTGTGATTATAATAAACTTCGAAAAATGGTTTCTGGTTTAGTGAAAGGTTTATAATCTTCTTGAGGTATTTGTTAAATTCATATATATATATATATATATATATATATATATATATATATATATATATATATATATATATATATAAACAAATTAATCTAGTGAATAGTTATTAAATAAACTTACATAACAAATGAGAAGCATCAGAAGATGGAAGGCACAGGAAATCTGAAAATATAACGTCCTTCTTAGGTTTAACTTGAATGTTATACAAAAAGCTTTATTGAAGTGATTGATCGTGACTGATATATTAGAACAAAATTTAACTTGTAATGGTTTGAATGATCGCTTTGTTGATATTTTTTCAGAAGTTTGATCGGTTTTAGTTGGTATGTGTTTATCCTGTGCCACGATATAGTCATTTTGACATAAATTGATATAGAATAAATGGAATTTGACTAATATTGAAATCCAAGAAGGAATAACCTCAACGATCACATAATAAATCAAAAATTACAAACGCTTAACAAGTGAGGGGTTATCCAAACTCAGTGGGTAGCGTATTGACATCTGATATGAAAGATACTGGCTGAAATTCACAGAGTGAACATCAACTCTGAGGTGCTGTTTTATATAGTTGATGAGTTTAAAATTGGATGAAACATCCATCCTGAATTCCACTGCTAGCCACATTCCATCTTCATTCTATTTGAAATTTGCTTTACTTTTAAACGTACATTCAAAAATGAATGTCCATTTATTCACCAAATAAGCAGTTTACGACTGAAATACACTATCGGACTATCAGTATAATGAGAGGCTTATAAAGAATAATTTACAATTCTCAGAGTGAGATATATAGTGAATGTAATAGAACAGATATGCACAATAAGTGATGATCAGTATAATTAATGAAATGAATTATATATAATGATGAAGTAAACAAAATATAATTACACAAAAGGATGAATACGTAATTTGATCTTACACAAGATAAACAGTAGAGTTGCTACGTACAAAATATTCATGGTGATTTCTTAATTGATAAGAACTTAAATGATTTTTATACACTTCTACAAACTATATTTTATCCGATACATCTTATTATTGGTCAATGCAGATAAGTAATATTCTTGAACAAACATGAAACATCAACTGTGACATCATTATTCGATAATTGATTGAGTGCTATTATTGTAAAGTGTGATCGAAAAAACGAACCCACCAATGATAATATGAAACGCCCATCACCACATTAACTTTCTTTGACCTTGTATGACTATGCCTTGTTTATTCACCAATCACAATTTTATGTTCATCATAAAACAATATTGGTTTCATATTAGAAGGGTTTTTGTGGATATCACAGTAATTTCAATGGTTGAGATTATGAGTCGATTGAATCTAGACCACGATCCCTCCTCGCCACACATCCACAAAAACCCTTCTGATATGAATCAACATATGCTCATTAGTGACTGGCTTCAAGAGGTATATTCTGGAGTTCTAGTAAAAAGCAGTAACCAGTGGAGTTTAACCGGGTCAGTTATGAGATTTTAACTCATTGATGACAATGGTGGATGTGTCGCTCAATTACGTGAATTGGTTGAAGTTAGACATTAACACTGTTTGATGCCGACCAGCTCAGTGGTATAATGGTTGAGCGCTCGTGCGCGAGACTGATATGTCCTGTATTCGAATTGTGCGAGATGGAGTGGTGGATGCGCACTTCTGAGGAGTGGCATACTAATTCGAAATGTCCGTTCAGTAGTTTCAGGTTTTCCATGGTGATCTATCTTCAATTGACTCATGATCTCAATGTTCGTTTTGTTGACTGATATTTCCTATCCTCTAATTACTGTTCGGTATGTTACCTATGTCTCTGCTTTTCGCTGTTTAATAGACTGTATTGATTATTCGTATACGTTTTAGAAGCAAATAAAATTTATCAAGCCAAATAGCTTACTTGTTCTAAATTTGGCTAAGCCAAGGCTCTGTGTTCGACAGTCGAGAGAATAGTTTAGAATTATACTTGTAGGAAATTACTTCCTAGAATTAATTTGTAAAAAATGCTTTCGAATATATAATTCAAATTGAAAGCTTACTAATCTGTAAATAATTTCAATAGTTGAGATCATGAATCAATTGAAGCTAGATCAGCATGGAAAACCTGGAAGCACTGGACGGCCATTTCGTCCCATTGTAGGACTAGCTTCAATTGACTCATGATCTCAACTATTGAAATTACTACAATCTTTACAAAACCCCTTCTGATACTAATCTATAGACATTTTATCTCAACAATTTCAGGTCTATTACATTGACTTTAACTATATATAACTTGTCATTATGAAACGAGGTAAACAACAGAGATTTAAACAAAATATAAACATATCATACTACTGTTTATGTATATAGTTACTATCATATTGTAAATGATATAGAGAATGTCTAATCAATAAAACTATGATATTCTCTTGTAAAATTATAAAAGTATAATACACAAAAATACTACTGTATTGCACAACGACGAAAACAGCCAACTGGTTTTCTAACCATATCGGAAATGATTGAATGAATGCATAACATGAAGTATTGAAATAATGTAAGCATTTCTAATGAAATTCGTTGATATTACTCGTTTCTTTTTGTGTTTACATGAGAAAACCATTGTTATCTGTATTGAGGATGCTAGACCTCCAGAAATCGTTAGGTAAACGTCATATTTTTTCGTAATTTTCATTTGAACATTTAAATTTCTCATGTTCATGCCAAAAGCGCTCATTTTTATCTTCCGATTGTATTTCCCACTTGGAAGGACCTTATCTGTCTTTAGTTTGTTTCATCTTCGTGTGACGTTTTCCAAAGACATTTTTATACTGTATATATACGTCCGAATCGTGTGCTTGTGGAATATATTTTCCCTCGTCTGAATCTAGTCTTCTTTCTCTAGTTATCAGGGCCGAGGTGCAGTGAGTAGTTTAGCTTGTCCTGTTGTTGTGTTGCTAACTTTCGTTCCGTTCACCGGTTTTAGCTGATCTTGTAATCTTTTCAAACCTGACAATCTGTTAAATAATTATTTGAAGTAGAACAATTACTGAAATACAGCCGTTCATTAAAGATTTATCTGACGAAATGGTCTGACAGTAAGAAAAACTTGAGACTTAGGTTTTTATTTCTTGAAATCCCTCTAGGAGCCTTCAAATAAGTGTTCAGAAGCTAGAAACATATTGCAAACGTTTGAATTAGTTATGGGTGCTCAGAAAATTTCTACATAATTCTATGAAATGACAGATTATGCTTCCATCATACTAAGTAAACACATTTCACATGTTTTCCAGAAGTATTTATAATTTCAGGGTTACAAACTTTTACATAGTTTTTTTTCTGTACATGAAATAACCTTCAAAATAATGCTCCCTTCATAAATCCCGCCGTTTAACTTTTTGTTCAGAGTTCAAGTATAAAAGATTCCATATGGCTGACAAACGGTTACAAATTCACTTTTTAACGCTCAGGTTTCATTGATAATCAAATAAAGCATAAAAATTATTACTAGTTTTTTTAAGGTAACGTCTACACATGCATGCAATATACTGGAAGATGGTTGAAGTAAATTGTAGCGCCAGATACCTGTATTATTATTATCAATTACTTACGAAAACATTCACAGAACTGTAAATCATTCCGACTTATTGTTTTCTAATTTATGACCAATAACCCACGTGATTACAAATATCATTTGTTGATGGAGTTTTGTTCTCTGAGCTGGGTGGTTTAGTCGTGGGGCTTTCATCGTTCTTCTGAACGACAACATCAGAACAAACTTCAGGTAGAGGTGAAGTGTTCTAATTTCTCCACATATAGCTCACACCTTGTCCTGTAGACATCGATCTTTATTGGTTGACCTTAAACGTGTCGAAAAATATCAGCCAAACGTATCATCAGAAACAAAGTCAAGTACAGAAACCAACAAACACCTTAACCTACTATATATAAAAGGCATATCAGAAACTACAATGAGATTATCAAAGCCTTTCGGAATAGGTGTAGCACACAAGCCAACAAAATCACTACAATCAATCCTATTGAGACCAAGGGACGAAATGACAAAACAAGAAAAACCGAGCATCATCTAGAAAACAAATTGTGCCAACTGTGAAAAAACTACATTCGACAAAGCGGACGCCCTCTTCATATTTGCCTGCATGAATATCAAGAAGCAGTCAGACGCCATGACATATCCCCACCTATATCAATGCATGCGGACAACTGCGGACACACATTCGACTGGAAAAATGTGGAGATCTTCAACAGAAGAAATTCTAAAAACAGAAAATTTTCAAAAGCCTGTCACTCAGATCAATTAGAAATCAACAAGCACATTGAAACAGACCCAATTTATCAACTAAACAAAAAAATTATGGACGAACATAGGATCAAAAATCAAACCAATAGGAGATACAGACGAAATAAAGAATGACAGGTTTAAGGTCAATAATAACCAATAACGATCGAGTTCTACAGGACAAGCTCTAAACTATATGTGGAGAAATTAGAACACTTCACCTCTACCTGAAGTTTGTTCTGATGTTGTCGTTCAGAAGAACGATGAAAGCCCCACGACCAAACCACCCAGCTCAGAGAACAGAACTCCATCAAAATCATTCACCTGAGCTCCAAATCATCACCACCATCTCAACATTACTTGTTTATATAACAAATTAGTAATTAACTAAAAGAACTTCAGTTACACAGTAACACTTTTCTTTCAGATTATAAAATAGTGTTTAGAGAAATTTAGATTTATTTACAAAGTGATAAATGAAACTGGTTACTGACTACTTGGTTAGTAACAAAACAATGAACAAAATAACTCTTTTACATCTCAATGTTTTATTGTCTGATATCAATTTGTTGATTCAGAAAACTAAGATTGTATGTCTTATTAACCAACAATAAAATTATTGTTGATATATTAATAAACCTTTAAATCACAACACTGCTGTATGATTACGTAGTAAAAGCTTATAGATATGAATAATTGAAAGTTATAGAAAGCTACTGATCAATTGACCATACTCATGAAATATCTTCTCTTCAGTTAAACAAATAATTTTGTAACGCCAATACTATTCGTAGCAACGTTATTACCGATTTCCATGAACTGAATATGATGACTTTTGTATCGTGGACCTTCTATAAGGTATTTGGCTTGATAGTGTTAAGCTATGAGAAATTATGGTGAGACTATAATTTATGGACAACATTTGAGAAACGCTAAAATGACCTTGAAAATACCCATCTACTTACTAGGGTCAAATGACAGTTACAAATTAATGCGAGGAACTACGATTAGGATTTACAGTTGAATGTTAAGTTTAGAGATTATATTCAATGTTTTCATCACGAACTGATGATGCTGAAATGATATTTAGCCAAATGAGTGTATGAATCTCGCGCCAAAATGTAAGACCTCCTACCTTAAATCTGATTGGTTTATCCATAAATTATAGTCTCGCCCTTTCTTGCCCAATTAACTACCTATAATAATTCATGTTATCAGTTAATTACGTAATCAGAAAGTTCATTCCATTCAAATGAATAAGGATGTCTAATTTGTTTAAATAAATAATTTCAATTTACCAGTAAATGATATGAAAGCTTAAATTTTATAGTCATTCTGTCTTTTAAAACAAAAAGCACATTATTTAACTCAGTAATTTAGATATTAAAATTCGTCATGAATACACTGTATGTTATATCCCGATGAGAATAATGAATGATAACTGCTAGAATCTATTTCTAGGCTAATACTATACGTATACTTCTATTGTATAATTGTTAAGTAACTAAACTATTCATATTCGTGTTTCTCTTATCATAAGCTTTATTTTGACTTATGAACTATTATTATACGATTTACCATTCATGAATTATTTCCTGTCTGTTAATCGCTACCTCCCTTATTCACAGCAACATCTGGCTAATTCTTGTACAAATGTTGTATCATATTTTATTGGTACGTTGTGGTCGGTTTGACTGGTATATAGACTCAGTATGCTTGAAATATAATGATTCATATCTCAGAGGCTGAGACTTGTGTTCTGGACCTTAACAGGCAGGGTTAGGCAGGAAGCAGGACCGTTA